TTTATTTATTTATTTAAAGAACGACATGAGCTGGGGAGATGGCTCAGTGGAATAAGCACTTCCCTGGCAAGCGCAAGGGCCTGAGTTCAGTCCCCAGTTCTGAAAAAAAAAAAAAGAATGACATGAGAAACTGGGAAAATTGTCTTAAATTTCTATAGCTGGCACAGGGCTATTTCTTCATATAAAGGTAATGAGCTATCTAAAAAAATACAGAATTTTTTTTAATGAATTTAGTAAAGGGCCTACAGGTCTCACTACATAGACTGGACTCATAGTGATCTGCCTGTTTTCAGCCTCCCAAGCACTGGGATTACAGGTGCACACTACCACGCGCAGTCTCAATCGCTATCTCAGTGCACCCCGGGAGCAAGGCCAGCATGGAACGCTGGGGATCAAACCCCAGTCCCTGCGCCTGCCTAAGCAGGTGTTTTAGTCTGTTGAGCTATCTGGCTGACCCTACAGAATGGTTTTTGCAGATCACTTAGACTGTTAAATATACACTAAAGTCTCACAAGAGTAAATAACCATTTTTTACCTATCAGAATGGCAAATGTAAAAGGCTTGTTGACAGTGTTGGCAAGAATAGATGAAAATAAATATAATTATACAGTGCTGGTAGGACTGAATACAGAGAGTAACTTGGAAGACATCAAATTTAAAATGTACATATTCTCATAGGTAAGAAATGACACATGTTCCAAGATATCCATTAAAACATTGTTTATAATAGTAAAATTTTAGAAACACTGCCTCTGAAAACAGAGATGCCTAAATTATGGTATATACACAAAATATAAAATTATACAACTGTTAAGAATAGAGCAGATGTTGAGTGACTGAATTTATAAGTGACAAAAGCAAGGCCTAAAATATTGTGTACAGAATGCTGTCATTTGCGTATATACACATAGGCATATGAACATATGGATCGCCACAGAGTGTACACAAACATGGCAAGTGGACAAAAGTCTTAGGTGGATTAGATGCAGGGGAAGTTAGGCACCAATACCAAAGAGGTAGCATGTATACTGTTATTATGGCTTCCAGATTTTGTAGCATAGGCATTGTAGAACTTCTTGAATGGTGTTTTTGTGGTGCTGGGGATGGAACCCAGGGCCTTGCACTGAGCTACATCCCCGGCCCCTTGCCCCTTTCTGAAGACTGGGTTCCCCTCTGTTGCCCAGGGTAGACTGAAATTTGATCTCCTGCTTCTCCTTCATTATGTTTATAGGGATGAAGATGAACCTGCCCAAATAGAAGACACAAGTGCTGTCAAACCCCAAGGCTGGCTCGATAATGAACCAAAATTTATTCCAAATCCTGATGCTAAAAAACCTGATGACTGGTAAGCATTCTTCACCTTCCAATGTCAGTGTTTCTTATACAGCCAACAGGAAAGACTTGCGGTTACTGTATTTGTTTTATTGTGGTATCTTAAGGAATGAAGATATGGATGGAGAATGGGAGGCACCTCATATCCTTAATCCAGCATGTCGGATCGGGTGTGGTGAGTGGAAACCTCCTATGATAGATAACCCAAAATACAAAGGAGTGTGGAGACCACCAATGATCGATAATCCCAACTACCAGGTAATAACCAGTTGTGCCAAGTCCTTAGTACAGTTTAAAAATGTACTTGTTTGTCTTATCTATCTAATCATCAGTGATACTATGTTACCTTTTGGAAGTTTGGTTCAAAATCCTTCGAAGTCAAAGAAAATAGACCTCACCTAAGGTATACTGACAGAAATGAACTGCCACACATTCAGTCCTGCACTGCCCAATTGCCAGCATGTAATGCGAAACCTGACCTATGTGCAAGACTACAGCTGTCCACAAAGTCTAAAGTGATGTAGCTAAGATGCTGTCAGTGCACTGCTTAGAGCTCACTGGGCTGTGAATAAGCAGGCCGTAGCATGACAGCATGGCGTACGCATGGTACTTAGAAAACACTGGCGCTTATGTATAGTATTTGGAGTATTCTCAAACTTAATTTCTACTCAGAAGCTTTAATGATCATATTACCATGAACTTACTAACATCTGGGGGACTAATATATTGTTTACACTTTGGAAATTCTTTTCTATACCTTAGAAGTCATGTGTACTTTTTTTTCTTCTCTTATTCCTAAGCCTCTTACCCAACCTAACCCAACTTTTTCTTTCTCAAAAGATATTATGAGATTTAATCTAATCATTGATTTATTTCCTGGGAACTTTGAATATAAACCCCTGTATTTTTTAGATGTTTATAAATAGTTTTGTGATTAAAGTTTGGTAATGTTATTGAAATAGTTTTCTTTTAGAGATAAATATAATAATTTTGATCAAGAACTCAGATTGTACATTTGAAAATTTTGTTTTGCTTAATATGCCTTTATTATTAAAATTCAGAATGTTTATAAAGTATGATCAGATATACTTTTTAAAATTTTTTAAATTATTTGTTTATTTATTTGGTATAGGGTCTCACTACGGAGTTCAGACTCATAGTGATCCTCCTGTCTCAGCCTCCCCAGTGCTGGGATTACAGGTGTGTACCACCATGCCCAATTTTGGGGCTGGCACTATGCACCCAGGGTTCTGAGGCTGGCATAGCATGTGATACTGGGGATTGAACCCAGGTCCTTGCATTCTTAGACTGCCAAGCTATCTCCCCAGCTCAATCAAATATATTTTGAATATATCTAGCTATTTCCCCAGGCCAACAGATATATTTTGAGTATACCTACATTTTTATATTAAAATTTTTTATTTTAATCAATTTGTTCTCTAGTTTTATTGCTGCAATTAATCATTGACATTTTCAAATATTATATTTACATTGAGTTTACATATTTGAATTATTCATTATAGTTTTTCCTTGAAGTGTTTACCATAAAATGTTTCTTTTGCTAATGGTTTTGCTTAATGTATGTCCTTCTGATTACAGTTTAATCCCCTTAATACAAGAAGTTAGGTCTTGGTCAACTTGCATCCCTGATATCTGGCACAGAATAGTGATGTGTGATGGTGGAGTGAATCGTGAGTGGGCATGCTGTTTGATTGATTCCACTTGATTGACAGGGTAGCCATTTCAAAGACCTCGTGGGACTTTCATGTCAACTAATTGTTCTGAGGTTCAACTGTGATTGATTAATGATGACTGCCATGCATATATGTTAAGAAGAGGGGTTCTATTTTTGCTATATAATGATCTTTCTGAATTTAGCAATTTTAACATCTTGACTAGATTAATTTCATTAAGTCTAAAAAAAAGGCCTAAAATAATCGCTTGTGAAATTCATTCACACTTCTGTGCATTGGAGTTTCACTTTGCCTTTTTTGCAGATAAAACTCAGTATTAGTCATAGAAAGCATACAAAGAGTAAGAATAAACAAGGCTTTTTCCAGTACATTACTAATGAATTTATTTCATTTACAGTTTTGTTATCTGCTTCTTACTGATTTCTTCAACAGTAGCTACTTCTTAATGAACATTTCCAATGGAATTGTTTTATTTAAAATGTCTTCAATTATTATTTCTTTCAGGGAATCTGGAGTCCTCAAAAAATTCCTAATCCAGATTATTTTGAAGATGATCATCCATTTCTTCTCACGTCCTTCTCTGCTCTTGGTTTAGAGCTTTGGTCTATGACCTCTGACATCTACTTTGATAATTTTATTATCTGTTCAGACAAAGAAGTAGCAGATCACTGGGCTGAAGAAAGCTGGAGATTGAAAGTACTGATTGCCAATGCTAATGAGGTATGGTAGTGACCACAGTGACAGTAATGTGACTGGCTAGAGCAACATCAGGACTTGGTTCCATGGCCAGCTGTAGGGCACATAGATGGGCCTGGTAAAGGCAGGTGTGCAGTAGTAAGTATGTAGACAGAATCTGTAGCTTTTCTGTATTAGGACACTTAATTGAGACTGTACAGTGAACTACATATGCATCTGTCTACCAGCATTACTCATTCAGTTATGGCTTTAATGGGATTTGATGTCTTTATGTTACAGAAATAAGACTCCTTAGTATCTTTGTCATCTTACTGACTCAAGGCCAAACTGGTAGCGAAGATTTATACTCCTTTTAAGTACTTATGAAGATGATCAACCATCTAGAGAAATACAAAGAATTAACATTATTAAGCTGCGTTCCAGTTTTTTCCTCAAATTTTAGGACTATCTAGAAAAGACTCGGCTCAGTATCTGAACACAGGCCATCATTAAAATCAGTTAACTGTAAAGGAAGATTCATACCTTGCATATGGTTTCTTTGGACACTAGCAACACTCATCAAAAGAATAGGTTAAAAATGAATTTTTTGGCCTTGTATTTTATTAAGAGAAACAGTTTTCTTATTGAAGTTCATGTGTAAATCTGTTTATATAAAAAAGAAAGCACAGTAATTTTCAGGGGTAATTTAGTAGTTTCTTTAACAGTACTGAATGAATTATCAGAGTTGTGTCCTCTGTGAACCAGCTAATGTGTCTATACAAGGTAGTTACATTCTTGGCGTTAACAGGTGTCATCACTCTGGCTGGTAAGCTAGGCATTTGCACGTATGTAGTAAGAGTCCTCCTACCGCAAAGCCTCTCTGAGTGAGGCGTGCTGCTAACTAAATCTTCCAAAATGTAAGGTGGGAAAATAAAGATTTCTTTTATTACAGATCCATCAACTTTAATATAAAATGTCCAGGTAAAATACATACTTTGGGTAGACTGTTTTTCCAAGTGGAGAGCTGTGAAATACGAGTTACATCATTATGCTTGTTTCTCTTGTAGCCTGGCATATTTAGTCAGCTAATGGCAGCTGCTGAAGAGCACTGGTGGCTTTGGCTCATTTTCCTTGTCATAGCAGGCCTTCCGGTAATACTAATTACTTCATTTTATTGGCCAAGAAAAGTAAAGGTAAAATGAACTTCTTTCAACTTTACAGATTTGTTAGTGTTGAATTCTGTGATTCAACAAGTGATTTTTAAGAATGATAAAATACATTTCCTATAGTTTGTATTGATAGCTTACTATCGAGGTTATTCGTTTTTACAAAAAAATTTAAGTGTTTTGATTTTAGTAAAAATAGCTATGTTAAACTACTGCAGAAAAAATATGAAGACACAGAAGATAAAAAAAAAGCCGTGTGTAATCCACAAACAAAGGGAGCTCTAGAGCAAGAAGTGAAGGAAGAAAAAGCAGCCCTGGAGAAGCCTGTGGACATGGAGGTGGAAAACAAAGAAAGCGACGCTGAAATTCTTGAAAAAGGTGATGTGATGATCATGGCGTGGCCCTGAGCCTGGACGAGCTCGTACTCCTTACCAGACTGACACCTCTGAGCTCTCAGAATCTGGGGCTGTGGCAGTGGGGGAGGAGCCCTCCCTCCAGCTACTCTGCTTAGTCCTTCGCTGCAGGGAAAGACAATAAAGGTGTTCAGCTGCTTTGGGGCCTCGCCACTGTGAATCCTCCCTGCCATAGCTTTGCGAGGATGTCTTGCCTCTTGAGAATAAAAAAAAAGAAATGCACGGTATATATTTGACCTTTGTAGAAGGTATGAGGCAAATGATGTTAGCTCCTCCTCTGATGGCTATTGTGCATCAGTTTAACAGATAGAATAGTTTTCTTAAGGTATTACTAAGTCCTGTGTCCCCTTCACCCTGTGTGCAGCGCTCCTGAAAGTGGCATCTCTGAGGGCTGAGGTGGTTTGGTGGCTCTCAGTTGAGACCTTATGCACATCTAGGTAGAAATAAGAATATTAGGGCTGGCCAGATAGGTCAGTGGACTAAAGCACCTGCTTAGGCAGAGCGCAGTGGCCGGGGTTTGATCCCTGGAATGCTGTGCCAGCCCCGCCCCAGGGGCATGCTGAGACAGCTACTGAGACTGAGCATGGTGGCACGTGGCTTTAATCCCACTGTTTGGGAGGCTGAAAACAGGAGAATCACTCTGAGTCCGATCTACGAAGTGAGACCTTGTAGACCCTGTCTTTAATACATAAAAGAAAGAATATTCATATACCAAGTGTCCCAAGCTAAATTCCGATAAGCAACATGACTCCAAGCATTATTTCTAACTTCCCCTCCCCTCCCCCGTCTCCTTCCTTCCCCTCCTTTCCCTATTTAAGACAGCATCTCACTATGTAGCCCAGGTTGGCCTTGAATTCCCAGGATACTCCTCCCTCAGCCTCCTGAGTGCTGGGATGACAGGTGAGTGCCACCATGCCCAGCCCAGGCTCTTTAAAAAAAAAAAAATACACACACACACACATTTATAAATACCAGTTCACACAAACACTTGAAATAACTAGCTGCTGCATTTATTATACGTGTATATCTAAAACTCACTATGTTGTAAATTCTCAATTTTTATTAGTACATTGGTATTTCAGTGAGCATTAGAGGTGGTTGGGGCTGGAGCTATAACTCAGTACCCAGCTCACCTTAGAGGTTGTTTATATATTGTTCTTATTGGAATATTTAAGTAGTAGAAGATCCTTATTTGTAAAGAATGTCCACATATCCATGTTGTTTCACACTATGCATGTGGAAAGACCTGGGAGATTGGAGGTGATCATTGACGTCCCTTTCCCCAAACTCAATCTGCTTTTATTTTGATAGTTTTCACTATGTATAATTCCTAGGATTTTTTTATTTTCTATAGTTCTGAGGGAATATTAAGGTTTTGGTGGAATGGTGATGACAAGGTTGGAGGTTTGGTTAAATGTAATCTATAGAGTTGGTAAAGGAAAAAATAAATGGTAATAGTGTCCTCAAAGTTGTAAACAACTAGCATATTGAAGGATACACAGGTAACCAAAAATTAAGGGATGTAATCCTGAAACATCAACATAAAAGATGTTAGTTTTGGTTTTCATATTGCTTACAGTACTCTAAAAACTCATGCCTTACCTCAAAGAGGATGACTTCTTTATAAAAAGTGGTAAAATAATGAGTTCTTACAACTTGTACATTTTTGAAAGTCAGAAATTGATTTTAAATTTTTGAATTCAAATAAATCCCCTTGCTTGTATGTCAGCAAAATTCTCATTGAGTTTTGTCTTTAATAAACTCTGTATTCTAGAAGAGGAAAGTGAACCTGAGCAAAAGAGTGAAGAAGTTGAAGTCATAGAAGGGCAAGAAGAGGAGAATAAATCAAATAAGTCTGGATCAGAAGATGAGGTGAGGAAGTCTCTATGTGTGATATGTGGCTCATAAGCATTATTTCAATAAAAGCAGTGAACTTGTGAAGGAATTTTTGCCATATTTCTTCCAGCTTTCATAAGAGCCTCAATATTGTATTCTAAACATATCCATAAAGAAGGCATAAAGACTAACATATCTCTTAGTGCTCAATAAGATGAAAGATTGCCTATGATTTACAAAATGTAAAAATAGAACCACGTAGAAAAATCGACATTAGTAAGTATAATAAACAGATCATTTCAACATTTTAGACACCTTCATGACAAGATAAATTTTGTATAGCTTTTGTAAAAACACTCTAATTGTCTCAATACTTTGTTCTCAGGTTTTAAAATACTTCATGAGTAACGAATACTGTCTTCCTGATGTTTTTCCCAAATCGCTAATGAAATGAGGGCTTTTTTCTGTTAACTTCATGTCACCTTTTTTGCATCCTGATACACAAAGGCATTTTCTATCATGACCTTTTTTTTTCAGCCAGATTTTATAGAACCAGAAATCATCAGAGCTGTTGTGCCCAGTGTCAATCAACAGCCCGCGTGTCCGCTTCTCTAAGTCCTTTAGCCACACGGTATGCAGTCTATGCTGCTGCCTCTCATTAGGCAGGGGGAGTGTAGCTCTGCCTCGCCTGGCACCTGGGCTCACATCTATTTTATATCTTCTTGAAGAGATCTGTTGTTTAAATGTATTCTAAAGGTTATTCAGTATACCTACTCTGTACTGGTCTTAACTCCCTGTGTTTTTAAAGGGATGTTGGGAAATATTTTCTAGGTTGAATATCCATATTTTTGGGAAGCCAGATCAAAATCCTTTCTTCCGTAGCAGTTCTATTGAAGTCATTTTTCAGTTGTGATGTTCTTAATATATGACACTTGTACTTTTCCTGAATACATTCTGGCTACTTTTGTTTCACAAAATGTTTTGTGTATTTCTTAATTATGGTAATCAAGGTAAAACACCTTAATTATGTCTTTCAGGCTTTTAGTCTTACGCATATTTGTCGGTTAGCAAGTCAAATTCTGTGTAGTACAACCTTTACAACTAATAATGACTTTTATTTTGTATACTATAAGCATCTTCATTTACATTCTTGAAGGGCAAGAATTAAAAATCTCAGAACATACATTTGATATTTCCTTTTCTGTTCATCTCTTCTAATTGTTCTGGAGGTTCTGTGTATCAGAAGTTCTGAAAAAGGCTTATAAAACCATCTCACCAATTCACTGTAGAAATACTGTAATGATAGTGTTATTATATAATGAATATGTCACATAACCATTAAGTATGATGTTGAAACCAAGTTCTAAGTCATAAATAAAATGGTGAATAGAATTGTTAACATATTGTCAGTGCTTATCTGATAAAGATGGTTAGTCTAGAAATGTAATCATTCCAATGTACACATTTTTGAGCAGCTGCATGAAGCCACATGCATTAGGTAGAATTTGATCTTTAAAACATGTATCTTAGAGAATAATGAATCTATTATATACTATCATTTCTTTAATTTTTTTTGTAGATGAAAGAAGCAGATGAAAACACAGGATCTGGAGATGGACCAATAAAGTCACTGCGCAAAAGAAGAGTACGGAAGGACTGAGCTGCATTCAAGTTTTCAGTTCATGAGAGACTTGCTTGGCATTTTTGAGTCCCTGTGCCAGAACTTACCTGGAATCAATCTATACATCCTATTTATAAATATCTAGCGATGTTATTCTTTCAGATAGTCTTTCTTTTCAGGGGAAAAAAATAACTGAAGTTACATCATCTTTGAATTTGGAATTTTATAAAAAGTGGCAAGTTACATATCTGATTTATGAGACTGATATTATAAGACATTACAATTATAATAGTTTGAAGACAGTTTAGGTTTATACCAAGCAAAACGGTATGTAGCAATCTTACTGCTGTTCGAAAGGTCAGTTATTGGAATTTCCACTTAAATGACTATAACAAGATAAGTGATAGTTTTATAATAAAAATGAGTGTGTTCTGTTGCACAGAACTAAATACAATAAACTTTCTTATGGTTGTTTGATTATATCAGCAATTGAGAGTACTGTATTTGACTCAGTTTATGTCAAATTATACCGTCAGTTGTTCATATATAGATTCTATTGAACAGGTGATTTGGTGACCAAACATTAGTAAAACATCTGTCATTCACAGAATGTAATGTTGTGTATTTTACATTGGAATACAGTGACAACAGGCTTATGGTGTACAACCTTTCTCTTGAGCTTCTATAATTGTTTCATGCTAGAGTAGTCTGCCCCATTCAGAAAGTTCCTGTGCATTCATGGCTCTTGAAAATAAAATTTACATATTTTTATGGTTTAAATTATACCATTTTAACACATAGATTATCATTGGAGAGTCTTTATTATTATGAGATTCTTGTGGCTAGTATGAGTTCATCCTGCTTTGTATTTTTAATTTTGTTTTTTACCTTGACAGATTTGAGGCTGTGAGGATGGGAGTAGCGACTGTTCTTGCTCCTCCTGCTAGAGCACTTACCAAAGTCCCTGAACTACCTTATAGTGAAGCTGTGCTGTTCCACTTAAAATCTTTTGTTGAACAAGTACCAGGTATAGGGGATTTAAACCTTTGAGCCACAGAGCCTCTTTAATACTCAATCTCTAGAGCTGATTGAGTTGGATCCCTCCCTGAACACACACCCTTCTTTGGGCTGGCCCGTCCTACTTTCATAGGTACCACTTAGACCTCGAAGCTCTAGTTGCGCCTTTGACTAACAGAAGCCAAGCACAGCCCAGGAGACTATATACAGCCTGCTTCAGAGGGACAATTGAAAGTACATTACATACCTTTCTCCACTGCCATGTTCTAACTTTCCTAAATTGGTGGTGGAAATCTGAAGATACATAAGCCATGATTTGTATTTATTTAATATTAACTGAACTGAGCACATCCTATAGATTGTGATCTGTAGTGACTTACTGTTAAGTAATGTCCAAAGGGAAGACAAAAGGACAATTTTGGATGGAGGAAAGGTGTGCCTCTAATCTGTTCAAACTGCTATAACAAAATGCCATACATTGGTGGCTTGCAAACAACAGGAATTTCTGACAGTTCTGGAGGCTGGAAGCCAAATCAGGGAAAGTTTTGGTGAAGCTTCTCCCTAGATGCAACTACTCCAATCTCATTATCTTCTTTTTTATAAGGGCACTAACCATGTCCTTAAGGCGCCACCCTCGTGCTCTAAGAGGGCCACATTATTATGTTAAGAGTTTCAACAGCACACAGTGTTTCACTAGTGTGATGGTTCTTCCATGCAATCCATCAATAAGTTTAGAGAGTTTTAAAGAAAAAATATTTTGACACTTACTGAAAGTTATTCTGACACATCTTCAGAACCATTGTGATAAATGTCAAGATTGTCATAACAGGGAGAGAAATCAGGCTCAGGTTCATTGTTAAAGTATACTCAGTGAACAGTGAAGCTGTCAGTGAGTGGAATCTTCTTAAGAGGAAACCTGAAGGCAAAGGGATCCTTGCTAAAGATCCTTGCTGAAGGTAGGCCAGGATGATGCGACACGGTAGGTAAGGGACTGAAGAGTTTGATCAGCTATGGAGGGTGAGCAGCTATTGAGGATGGGGACTCCTCTACACTAGTTTAGCAGGGGTTTTGGTAAACTGGACGAGACAGAGCAAGATGGCCTCAAGATGAGGCCTGTGCTGGCCCCACCCCCAGGGTACGCTGAGACAGCCATTGAGACTGGGCGTGGTGGTGCGCACCTATAACTCAGTGCTTGGGAGGCTGAAAACAGGAGGATCACTATAAGTCTGATCTGTGTAGTGAGACCCTGTACTAAATACATAAAAAAAAGCAAAAAAGATGAGGCCTGGAGAAAAACTTGTGTAAAATTGAGTGAAGGAACATTTTTGTGAGAAACTAGAATAGTCCTTATGCACGCTTGCCATATGTATTTCTAATATAGAAAATCAAAATATGTATGGTATTTGCCTACCATAAACATGACAAGCAGGTGGGGCGCAGCATTTCAGGCAATATTTTGTCAACCTATTAGGACAATAGTAAGTACTAGAAGCAGTTGAAACAGCCAGAATGTTAAATGATTAGCTATTCCTTGATGCTTGTAACAAGGTATCACAAAAAGTACTCAGCAGTTTTCAAACACAGATGTAAGGGAACAGAGTTTAGATATCAGAAAACTTACCGAATTAGAAAGTTACCGCTGCCCTCAGAGGTTCAAAACTGTCACTGTCAGATGTGGGACACAGACAAGAAGCCTAGTGAAGAAGCCATTCTGGCAGCTGTGGAGTCCTGGCTGTGTAGCAATATGGTTACAGCACTCAGTGCAGCGTTATTCTCAGCTAGTCCTAGATAGCCTCTATTAACAAGAGGCAGGACTGTGAGGAAGCAAACACTTTGGGAATCTGGGCTAGAAAAGGCTTCACTGTGGTTCCTGACATACGGAACCTAGAAGCCTATAAAGGCTTGAGTGTCTTAGGGAATTACACTGCAAAAGAAATGTGAGCTTGGCTTTAAGATGGGCAGCAAGCTCAGACCAGCAGCAGGTGAAATGTTTTCACACTTCTATGGAAGAGCACTCCCCGCTCCTACTTCAGGTGTTGCCATGGGGAAAATCAGAATGGAATTACTTTTCAGTAGGGAAGTCATGAAGGTCAGTGAAAAGGTCCATATCTAGGTCTGAGGAATGTGACAACTACTACAGACAGAATCTTCACAAGGTCTCTAAGCATTCGTTTCTTGTATTCTAAGTATTTTATCTCACTTTCCAAATTGAGAGTATTTAGCTACTGTCTTCTACTATATTATAAATCAGGGACAGCACTTGTAAATGGCCTACCAGTTTAGAGATTAAAATCTATAACCATTAAAAACTAACTGATGGATCTTAATAGCCTGGATTTTGAGCTAACCCATGAACTTTCTACTTGAGGGAACAATTACTTAGTAGCAAGAAAAGACAGCTGTGCCTAAGGCCAGCAAAAGCATTCACCTACTTCTAGGAGTAAAGGTGTTGCTAGAATGTGGCTTCCCAGGCAAGCAACTGCATTTCTTAGTCCTCTAGATGTAACTGAGTCGCCACACAACTGTAATGCAGGAAAACATGACCATTTCTAGGTCCAGCCCATAAAAACTTGGCTAGATGTGCACTTCTGTGCTAATTTTTTTTTTTTTTCTTAGAATATCAGTGATTAGAGTGACTTGGGAAGCAAGGTGGCCAAAGGCAGAGCCATCTTCAGTACCTGCAGTGAACTGTGTGCAGCAAAGCCGACCAGCCTGGAATGTTCACGCAGAACCCCTGCTGGTGGAGATGCAGCTGTGTTTTATATCACTGGGTCTCACATTACAGTAGCTGGCCTGACTAGAACCTACTTTTTCCTGGAGCTCTTGCATCCTTTTCTTTCAACACTTTGCTTTTATGTTCTAACCAATGTATCACATGCTGTAATATTAGCACTAAAATATTTCCCTAAAGACTCAGAGCCAGATACTTAAGATACTCCGTTTATACTATAACAGTTAACCCAATACACCACACCAGCCTCTCTTCCTATCATCTCATTTACTTAAGGAACTATATCAAAACACAATCTCTGAAACAGCTTTTTATTAAACAGCAAAGCAGAACTGCAACACAATTTTAAATAGTTTTTAAATTAGGTCACAAAAGGGATGCAAATGTTTGCATTATGACTATTACATATCCATACAGCTAAAGTCATCAAATATTACACCAATAGATAAGATTATTCCACTGATTAGAAGTAGTTCAAATCTAGTAACCATAAACTATATTAGATCTCTTCCTATTATAACATTTTAATATTTCTTTTGACATTAATTCCTTTACTAAATGGAATTTACAAACTAAATTTTTAAAAACTTTTAATGACCAAAACTCCACAAAACAAGTAGTTCAATTTACAGAAAATTCTGGAAGAATACATGAGATAAAATACTGAATAAGGTTGGCAATTATCAGAGTAAAATCTTCCCACTTATTCATGACTGACACTAATACACTCAAAAGAATTCTGCAGAAGTTGATCTACTAGGGATTACAAATAAATCTTGAGACATAACTGGCCTTTCTAACATGTGGCCTGGCTTACAAAAGGCCAAACTTAACCTACTTTCCAACATAATTCTTAAAAGACCTACTCTGTGCTAGAGAAAACAAACTTGGAATGAAAACATCTGGAATTGGTTAACACTTTTTATTGAGTTATTTTCTACCCTGTTTCTGTACTTTCTCAAGGATTTTTTTTTTAACTTTTAACACAATTAGACTACTTACCTTTTCAGATAACTGGGTTATTTTGTGCAAAAGGAAGTTTTTAAAAATCTTCCCAATGTTTTAAAGAAAAATCTTTACTTTATAGAATTAATCTGTTTTAAAATGATTAAAGAGAAACCAGCAATCCTACTACTATCACAAATGACTATCCCTAACTGACAAAGTATCTTATTTTGGTTAAGTCGCAAGAATTAGAGCTCAGGTTACTCTTACAGGGATTAACTAGTCAAAGTAATTTTACAAATGTGAAACCACTGTTTTTCCTAGGAAAGCAAAGTAGAGAAGAAGAGGCAAATGGAGAAGAGGCACACGATGGTGGACACGGTACATAAAGCTGTGCATTCAGTATATGATTTTGGTCACTTTTTCACAACATGGTTATTTCCTGTATATCTTACCAAGCCTATAATAAAAGACAGTGCTAAACCTAGATATCAAAGCAAATTTGATAAAACATCTTCAAGTTTCATAAATATATGCAATTCTAATTATAAAGTCTCTACAATACATTCGCACATTTTTAGACTAACAATACACAAATTCATGGAAGTCTTCTGTTATGCAGTTAATTTTGCTAGGTCTGACAATATCTTCATAAATATTCAATGAAGCCACAAAGTACTGTAACTTTTGGAATCTATCCAAGTTTAAAGAACAAAATCAGCAGCAATTCCATAAAACAGAAGGGAAATCAATCCCTTACTTTCTTTTGCTTTTTGTGTCAGTTGTCTGAAAAACACTAGAAGCAGACATGAGGTTTTCTATATATTGTCCAAGAACCTGGTTTTCGGATTTTAACTTCAGATTTTCTTCCTTAACTGCATCTACTCTTGCAGAAAGATCTGTATTAAAAAAAAAAATCGTTATCAATAAAATAATAGCAATAACTCCACACACAACATATTTCAGGTTCATTCTTAAAGACTACATGTAGCTGAGGATATTGCATGGTGGCAGAGCACTCGTGTAACATACACAAGGCCCTGGGTTAAATCCCAAAGGGCTACAAAAATAAAAAACATCGCAGTCCAAATTCTCTGTTTTTAAATTCGGAGGACTTTAGAGCCCACTAAGGTAAACAAAGTGAGTATAATTCAGTAGAAACTAGGTCCTAAGAAATTTCACATTACTCTTTATAAATAGCATTTATGTTAACTCTCAAAATGGTTAAAGGAACCAACCTTATTTTTAAAATGTAAATGCCTTAAAATAGAAATCTAAGTCTTTACTAGAACTGTTTATGTAGTAGATTAACAACTGCATTCACATATTGGATAAAGACAGGCAGTTTCCAAATTGATCATGTTGTATGAAAATTCAAACTTTCAAACTTATCAAAATTGATCATTTTCTATTTTTATACTAACTACAAATATTAAAAGATCATATGATCAAATAAAAATGACCTCCATTTATTCTTTGAACAAATATGTACTTAATGCCCTTTAGCAGCCAAGCTCTGTTCTAGAAGCAACGGCAAAGAGAAAAGGTGTGTGTGGGCGTGCACTATGAGCAGACACAGAGTGGGCATCAGCAGCAAACGCTAAGAGACACAGCGCAGAGCTGGACGGAGCAAAAGCAGTGAGGGGAAAGTCAGAGGGGTGACGGCCATAAGGAGCAGACGCTGCTTGGTTCTACGCTGAGGCAGAGAATCTGACCGGAGGCCTTAAGGGAAGGGATGAGCCACCTGCGTGAGCAGCGGCTAGGCGAAGCCAAGGTGCAAGCACGCTTGGCTGGGGTGGGAAAGAACCGGAGGCCCACAGTCTGAGGTGGATTGGTGAGGCAATGCGACACGACCTTGAGAGGTAACATGAAGTCACACAAGCTGGCGGCTGTTAGCTGTCAGAGGGGAAGTCCTGGGAGATTGAGGTGACAGCATCTGCTCACTCTCGGGCCCAAAGGACACAGCGTTTTACTTTCATTAAACGTGGAAAGATGTCACTGTAGTAGTACGAGTTTTTTGTAAAACATTTAGAAAACAAAAAAACTCCGGTCATTCCTTTTTAATCTCTGAGGTTAATATGTTGTTTTCACTTTAATATAAGCTCTATTACAATAGACTCAGTTTATGTAAGGCTAGGATTTGAAAAGAGCTCCCATACTATACAGCGTCATGTTAGACTTAGTGAACCATATCTGTTCTTTTAAACCACTGCCCAAACCTAAAACCAGGAGGAAAGGGAAAAAAAAAAAAAAAAAAAAGCTATGAAAATGGACATTTTGTTAACCCAGGTGAATAACAACATGTTAATAAAAAGTCCATTTTCATAGCTTTTTTTCCCTTTCCTCCTGGTTTTAGGTTCAGGCAGTGGTTTATGATGCACCTAAGGAGTCACCTAGAGAGAAAACATTCTCTCAGGCTTTCTTAGAAAGCAAATTGGTCAAGCAATGGCTGTGACTCATCCACATGGCTGACACTGACAAAGGATCTACAAACTGCGGTACAGGCTTTCAGGGTAAATCCTGAGAGGATTTGACTGACCTTGTCAGATACAAAAGTTACATTTCTTGTTATATAGGACTTGCCTTATCTTGGTCTTAATCATCTAGCAGAAAAGTATAAAAACGAGGTATAGAAAGTAAAGCCATGTTAATATGCTGAGCTGTAAAAGGTTCAACTCAACAACTTCTGACATTGCCAGCCTTACGGATAACCCACTACTATTATGGACTACTGGACTATATTGGATTATTTTGCTGAATTTATGCACCTAAAATATTTAAATGGCAATGGAATATCCATCTCTGACAAAACTAAACAAAAAAAGGGGATATAAATGAAAGACCATTTTGCATCTGCATATACAAAATAGGATAGATATACAGCTACTTTCTCTTAATGAGAAGAGAGACTTGTACTAATAGTGTTTGGACAGGATATCATGTCTGCATCTTGTACTATGAATAACCACTACGAAGACAACAATATGCAATGTATTAATTATTGAAATGGTCTCAATCCGTTTTGAAACTCTTTGCTATTTCTCAATAAAAGAAAAAAATGGACTTTCGCACAAACAAAGATGGCAACATAAATACTTACAACTTCAATTAATAGAATGTTCATAAAGCTACAAAATGCAAGCTAACCTTCAAGTGTGTGCTGGAGTTCCAACACTTGATTAATAAGTCGTGTTTTTTCCTCCAGTTCCACCTGATTTTCAGCATCAACTGCTGTAATGAAAGGGTCAGATTTACTGTTAACATTAGGCACCACTTGCGTACTGTAGCACTTAAAAGCCTCCAAAACATTTTATATCCATCGTCTTAACTGACTTATACGAGAGCCCTCTGAATTACAAAACTAAATCTCTACATCACTGATGAGGACACAAAGGTAAAAGTAAGTTAAGGAATGAAAACTGCCTTAGAGCTCTTCTAGAACTAGAAAGGATACAAATAAGCGAGCCAAGACTCTATCCTTCTAGAGACTGTTTCTCTGCTCTTTGCATTGCTAATAAAGCGAAGCGTCCACAAAAAATGAAAATGAAGACTATACCATCCATGTCAGCATTCATCATCTTGGGCCTTGGGTATAAACTTTTGGGCCTTGGATATAAAATCTTCGATGGATAGCCTGCAAAAAGTAAAAAAAAAAAAAAAAAAAAGATACTTAAGAGTTATGAAAAACAAATATGTAAATATTAGATGATATGTATCTTTTCTAGAGAATAATACAATAATAAACATGATTTATAAAAATATTTCAAATCCTTATTAAGCATTTTACTCTAGGAATTTAGCCTACGATAATTACAACAAAGGTAAAATTATATATGTAAAAAGCTTCAATCTTAAACCAGTAGTGCCAGGGAGATAGCTCAGCGGCCTAAGCGCCTGCCTGGCAAGCGCAAGGTTCTTAGTTCAGTCCCTGATACCACAAAAACAGATCAGAAACAGTTCATTCAGTGTGGGAAATTACAGTTGCAATGTAATAATGGAGCCCCTTTAAAAATAATTATGGGGTTGGCGATACAGCTCAGCTGACTAAGCACCTGCTTAGGCAAGCGCAGGGACCTGGGTTCAATCCAGGCACCACAGGCTGCGCCGGCCCCACCCCCAAGCACACTGAGCCGGCTACCAAAACCAGGCATGGTGGTGCACACCTGTAATCCCAGCTCTGGGGAGGCTGAAAACAAGAGGATAACTATGAGTCAGAGCTGTGTGTCATGCGGCCCTGTACCAAATATATAAAAAATAAATAAAATAAAAAATACAATTTTAAAAAATACGGTTACTCTAATAATATGGCAGACTGTTTACAAAAATATTTAGTAATCTAAATTATGTGAAGTAATAAAAGCAAAGAACACAGCACATTAGGGATGACAGCAGGAAAGAAATCCTTTTGAAAATATTCTTAAGTATTCCTTCATGTATAATGTTTAACTTTTTTATACATAAAATTCTAAAGAAAACTATCTGAGTCACTAACAATAAATTTAAAATGTCCATTTGCCTCCTGGTTCTGGTTAAATCAAAGCAGATTAATCAGCACACAGAAGAGTAAATACGTACATAAACATCTTACTATCTCTTTTCTTTCCTTTTTGTATTTTAGGGAAGGATCCACAGAGTGTTCAGGGTCTCACTACTAGATCAGACTCATAATGATTCTCCTGTTTACAGCCTCCCAAGTGCTGGGATTATAGGCATCACCACTACACCCAGTTTCAATCGCTGTCTCAGCATGCCCTGGAGGCAGGGCCAGCTCAACACACCAGGGACCAAATCCAGCCACTGCACTTGCCTAAGTAGGCGCTTTAATCCGCTGAGCTATCAGGCCGGCCCAACATCTTACTATTTCAATAAAAGGGTCAGAAATTTAGAGCACAAAATCCCTATGAAAAAAGTTCTGCTCTATTTTTGAGTCTTTTCTCATTTCATGCTCAAAGCTTATTAATTGTTACTAGAACGTTAAAGAGCTGTTAGCTAGTTAAACCTGCACTGAAGCAACCTAGACCCTTTGTCAACAAGTATTTACTGAACACCCAGTATACCCAAGGCACTGTTACACCTTCTGTGTTGAACAGTGGATTCCCGACCTATGGAACAAAGATGCCTACACACCAGAAACAGAACCACAATGGAGATATCAATGGCTTGACTTGGGGTGAGGGGGTGGAAGAAGGGCAGAAAAACAGGGGTAAGAGAGCCTATATAACATTCAATATTGAGGGAGGGTGCACATCTATAACTCCACACTCAGGGGGCTGAGGCAGGAGGACTGAGAAGAGTTTAAGGGCAGCCTGAACTGCATACCAAGACCCTGGCTCATACGTGCACATGTGCATGCGTACATACACACACACACAGATTGAGGAAAGGGTGGTGGCATAAAGGCAGTGCCACAGGATGGTGCTCCAGGGCACCACAGCCCAGGTCAGCACTGCTGACATCATAATCTATGGGAGCTCCACCCCAAGGACTACATGATACAAAACCTGAGCAACTGCAGAAGCAGCTGTGCAGAAAGGCACTCTCTCTAACAGAGCAGAGCAGCACATTACCCACCCACCTTCACAACAACGAACAGTAACTTTCTTTTACTGTAATGTGATGAAACAGAAATGCTTCAAAATGCTACTATTACATATACTCTTAGTATTGCATTAGGCTTAGAGTAATAAACTTTCTTTCCATGGGGGGGGGGTCAAAGGGTTTGCTGATTTATGCTAAAATGTTGGCCATGCATTAATTTTCTTTTAAAAGAGGATCAGTCCTCAAACTGCATGCCGTCTATACTAACACTTTCTACATCCTACCTGAGCGGCTACAGTTGCTCAGGTTTTGTATCATGTAGCCCTTGGGGTGGAGGCGCCCGTAGATGATGTCATCAGCAGTGCTGTCCTGGGCTGTGAGGTGCCCTGGAGCACCATTCTGTGACACTGCCTTTATGCCACCAATCTCTGTGTGCGTGCACGCACGCATGATACAGTCTTGTGTACCAGTGCCTATGTACCTAGTACAAGACTGCAAATTTTCAACTACATAATCCTTTTTATCTAGAGCTGCACCCATGACATCAATCTATGTCAAATGTGATCTGAAAAGTTCAATCTAAACTTCTTTTGTTCACTCACACAAATGTAAACTGGAGATGAAGAAAATCCAGACCAAAACAGCTCAATGTGGGAAAGATGACACAAACATCTGGGATACCAAGGCTGCTCTGCAAAACTTGCCTCAGATCTGAACTGGACATGATACAAGATTTTGGAGTTCAGGTTTAAAAACTTTTCTCAAAAAGTCCTAGCAAATTTTAATGCCTAGCTGTATCCACCCTTTTCTAGCAAAAGAGAATCTAGAGAGCATTTAAATCCAGGAAGCAGATGGTGCAGAGAAAATGTGAATCATGTGGCAAGCATTAGAACAAGATATATTATCTTTTCTAGGCCCACACACTGAATTGTGACCAAAGGTGGTCATCTTGCTCCAAGTGCCTCTATTTCTCTTGTAAGATCTCTTCTCAGGAGAGAGTTTTTGCAGTAATTAAGAACATGGGCTTACATTACCTGCATCCAAATCCTAGCTCTGAAACCACAGGCAAAGTTAAAATCTCCACCGTTCCCTCATGTGTAAGGAGGGATACTAAAAGAATGCACCTCAGGGGTTTGCTGTAAGGACTGAATGGGTTGACATATACGCGCTTTGGTGTCTTGTAAGTACTGAATAAACGTTAGCTATTTGCTACTTTTTACCTTTTTGCCCCACAAGAAGAATTTTAGAAAATTCTCTGGTCCAGCTGTTTTATTTTACAAGTAAACCCAGGCCACAGGTGAGAATGGCTAGCTTAAGGTCATAGCAGTGATCCCCAGAGTAAGACCAAATGTCCCAGGCTGGTTTTCCCTCACTATTCCACCAAAAGGATTCTCTTATCTCTCACCTGACACTCCATTCAACCTCAACCACTCAACTTTTCTATGTTCACAACTGACTTTAATCATCTGTTGTCTAGTAAGACTGCCAAAATCTTACACGTACTATTTTGTATCAATAAGGAATTTTCGATTTATGAAAGTGGATATTAAGTATCAGAAAGGCTGTGCATTTTGCCTCATGTTTCACAGTCAGTGTACCATGAATTTGAATCCAAATCTGCGTGGCTCCTGTTTTTTCTACTATGCAATGACAAGCACAATCTTCCAAAATAGAACACCTCACTTACAGTTCTAATTTAAATTTGGCAAATAATTTTGCAACCCGTTATCAAATTTCTTTGGTGTTTCCACTAAGCAACTGAAGATAAATTTAGGGGCCAGGGAGATGTCTCAGTGGAATAAGCACTACCCTGGCAAGAGCAAGGGCCTGAGTTCAATCCCTGGTTCTGCCTAAAAAAATTAAAAATGAAGATAAATTTCATTAATTTTAAACTGCATCAACACCCATGGTTTGTTTGGGGTTGTTCAAGTTACCTACGTAATTCCAGCTTCAAATTCCACAAAACCAAGAAACTATTTAAAGATTTAAACTTAAGCTAGTTCCCCAAAGAGTCACGGCCGCAGAGTTCCGCGAAAGAGCAGGATGGGTACCTAGATTTGCAGGTATCGCTTTGGAGCTCAGAATAAGGAGCTAAGACGTTGCCGACACATCTGCCCTTAATGCTGTGACATCACAGTCTGGGATAGATACATTGTATAACATGTATACGCGCCTTTCAGGATTGCACGCCCTTTCTCCTTTCCAAATCTTAACCCTCCAAACTTGTTTAGCAGGACTCCAGAGAAAAGCTGACGAAGAAACGAAGGCAGCTTCCAGCTCAGGGACAGCGGTCCCATCCCTCGCGCCCCGCTGTCCAGCCTCGCTCGCCACCCCGGCTCTCGCAAGGCCGAGCCCAGCGCGCTGCCCTCCCACCCACGCCGCCCACGTTCCGCGCCCGCAGGAGGCAAGGACCGCGCGCGCCCGGCCGCTGCGGAGACTGCGCATCTCCTCTCCGTCGGGGACCCCCGGCGGCCCCCACCCCAACAATCCCGGGGCCCGTTCGCGAGGCCAGGAGAGAAAACTGCGCAGGGAGCCAGGCCGCGCCACCCCCACGACGCTCGGCCTGAGCGCCGGGCTGCGTCCAGCCCGCCCCGCCCTCCAAGCCCTGGGCGGCCACCCGAGCACCGGGGAGGCCCTCCCGCGTCCAGTCCGCCCTCACCTTTAGCCTGAGGCGCCAGGAGGGCGTGGGACGATCCGGTGGATGCCTCAGCTTCTGAGCTCGGACCAACTGACACCGGCGGACTCGCCCTCTCGGACCACAGAGCGTGCGCCGAGAGAGCAAGCCCGCCCCGCCCCGCTGCCCGCCAATCACAGGCCGAGGACGTACGCCTGCGCATTAGTTGCCCGCCGCTAAAGCGCCGGGATGCACCTTGGCCATAACAAAAGGGCTTTGAGGCCCAATCAGAATTAAGATCTTTGGGGGCGGGTCCGGAAAAGCAACAGCCAATGAAAGCACAGAAGTGGGGCTCGGATTGGAAAAGCTAATTCTCGCCTAGTGGATCTTGTGTCATTGCTGAGCTTGATAAATGGAGCCAAATCTAGGCGGAAAATGCTGGCTACTGTCAAGGAGTTTGTTGGTATGCGCTGAACGAGAGACAATTCAATCAAATTCAAGACCAGAGCATGAGCAGACAGATCAGAGGAAGCAAGCCTGTGCAATACTGTGGTCTCCCGATTACCAAAGCAGACTGATCCATATTTTTACATTTTTACAATCAGAAAGCTCATCAAATGTAGCGCTAATGGAATGTTTCTCTCCGTATTTCTCTAAACTATTATTAAATATATACTGTCCCTGACCACTAAATGACATCTTAGAATTAAGAAGTAGGACTTTGCATGGCCTTTTCACTCAAACTTATCGTTTGATTTTTGCAGCATCCCCCACAGAAAAACTTGAAACCTAATAGTAAATACATTTCAATGCAAAGTCATACTTGCGGGACAGAATGCTACATGCCAACTTTAAGGTGTGACGCAATCTCCACGATGCTGTTCCTTGTAGCACCAGAAGCACAGCACCCTGCTGGGTTTATTATTCATGGAGCATAGGACACACACCATGGCAACACATTCTTGTTTTAACTTTGTAGGGGTGAGCTTTATGTGTACTCCGTCTTGGCCTTTCCCTTTTAGCACAGTTTACTGACACATCGGCTTAATCCTTTTAGGGCCTCCATTTTAAAAAAATCCTCAAGTTGGCTGGAACCATAATATATATTTTGAGGAAATTTACTAGACTGCAGTGCAGAAGCTAAATAGTTGGGGGGGGGGAATCCAACATAAAACTATTAGTGCCACAAAAGAGTAGAGGGGATGGGTGTAATGTCCGAAGACAGTATTGGAAGAGGAATGACTAAGAATGTTTTAAAATTGTGAAATACTTGGGACCCTCAAGTGCAAGAAGTCCTTTTGTCGTATATATCCATGTATCTTCCTCTGAGCTACAAACCCAGCCAGGCAGGTACTTCTTCTTGAGAAGACTAGTATAAAGAATAGATGCAGTGTTGAAACTATTGCAAAACCCTAAAAAACCAAGAAAAACTACTAAAAGTAACAATTTTGCTAGAACTTAAAAAAAAAACTATTCTAGTTGTGAATATATAACTTACTGTCATAACTATTTTGGCAGAACCAGGAATTGAACTCAGGCCCTTGCGCTTGCCAGGGAAGTGCTTATTCGACTGAGGCATCTCCCCGGCACTGTCATAACTATTTTGAACGCAGTGCTATTAAGTATATTAACACTGTTGTAAACCTTCAGGTCTCTTTTCATTTTCCCAAACTGAAACTCTATTCTCATACACCAATCCCTACTTCCCAGTCTCTACACCCCCTGACAATCTCTTATTCCACTTTCTTTAATAGTTTGGCTACTCTAATTACCTAATAGAGGTAGAATTATTATCGTCAGTGTTCACGTTGTGGTATATTGCAGAATGTCCTTTTAAAGGCTGAACAGTCATATTTGCTTACCCTTTTGTCTCTCAACAAACACTTTGATTTCTTTTAGCTTTTGGTTATTGTGAATAGTTCTTCTATCAACACATATGTGCAACTTT